CTGAGACCTGTGATATACTTGAAATGAAAAACAGATAATAGGAACCTTAAATATAAAGTAAAAACATTTGAATTTGGACTAGACTCGCAGCTTCTATGACACACAGTCTCAGAGATGCACACTGATGACCGTTTGGTTTAATTGGTCAGTGGTAATCAACACGTGGCTGCCTGGTAGGTGAGTGGGAACATCCAGCTTGCCAACTGAGTGGATCTCCAGGCAGTTAATGCTGTCACTGAGTGGATCCTTCACTCACAATTATCCCTCATGTCTGGTGAAGGAGAATTGGTGTCATCATCTGGCAAAGAGGACAGCGTGTCTTGCATCCAAAAGGACTAGGAACACACTTCAGTACATCATTGATTTGATTCGTCAATTTAATTTAAATGCTAATTTGGTTTTGAAGGCAGTCTTGGGGTCTTTCATTCCTCAATGGTTGAGATGCAGTCTTGTTTTTAGTTCTGTTATTTCATTAAGGATTAGTAAAGATCCTGTTGATTCTCATTAAGTAAACATGGAGGGCTAATCTAAAACAGACCAATACTAAGAACAATTAGCTAAATAGGGACGCTAGGCAAGGCAGTCATTAAAGAAAGAAGACCACCTCTTAGTGTTTACTTCCTGTCTGTCTTCTTCTGGTGTTCCCTTTATCTTTACTTCCTGTCTGTCTCTTCTGCTGTTCTCCCTTAGTGTTTATTTCCCTGTCGTCTCCTTCTGTTGTTTCCTTTTGTGTTTATTTCCTGTCCGTCTTCTTCTGCTGTTCCTTTAAGTGTTTACTTCCTGCCTGTCTTCCTCTGCTGTTCCCTTTAGTGTTTACTTCCATGTCTGTCTTCTTCTGCTGTTCCCTTTAGTGTTTTACTTCCTGTCTGTCCTCTCTGCTGTTCCCTTTAGTGTTTAATTCATGTCTGTCTTCTTCTGCTGTTCCCTTTAGTGTTTACTTCCTGTCTGTCTTCTTCTGCTGTTTCCTTTAGGTGTTTACTTCCTGTCTGTCTGTCTTCTTCTGCTGTTCCCCTATAGTGTTTACTTCCTTTCCGTCTTCTTCTGGCTGTTCCCTTTAGTGTTTTATTTCTTCCGTCTTCTTCTGCTGTTCCCTTTAGTGTTTACTTTCCTGTCTGTCTTCTTCTGCTGTTTCCCTTTAGTGTTTATTTCCTGTCCATCTTCCTTCTGCTGTTCCCTTTAGTGTTAACTTCCTGTCTGTCTTCTTCTGCTGTTCCCTTTAGTGTTTACTTCATGCCTGTCTTCTTCTGCTGTTCCCTATAGTGTTTTACTTCCTGTCTGTCTTCTTGTGCTGTTCCCTTAGTGTTTATTCCGTCCGTCTTCTTCTGCTGTTCCCTTAGTGTTTACTTCATGTCCTGTCTTCTTCTGCTGTTCCCTTTATTGTTTACTTCCTGTCTGTCTTCTTATGTGTTCCCTGTCACTACCCGATCTGGCCGCCCTGCCCTAATCTGCAGTGCGCATGTGCAAGAATGGTCCGCCATATATTGACAACTACATACGGCAACTCTAATAGGACACTTGAACAGAGCGGCGTTTGGCAAAGCAGAAAAGAACACAAAAAAAAGACAATATTAATTGTCTCTGCACGGACGAGAAATGAATTTAAACTTCTGTTAGACAGCTATCATACTGGAATAAATTTTACTGTGAATGTTATGCAAAAATGTATGGCATATAGCTGTCTAACAGAAGTTAAATCCATTTCTCCATATTCTGAACAATGTACTTAACCCCAATTAAAAAGAACCGATAAAAGGAGTTGTTAAATAATAAGTGAGTCACGTTTGTAATAACAATAACTCATCTCTCTTTGAGTTTTATTTTTCAGCTTTGCTAAAAGCCACTGTGTCCAGGTGTCCTACTTGGGTTGCCGTACGGAGTTGTCCAATATGGCGGACCATCTCGCACATACGGCACTGCAGGATAGGGCAGGGTGGCAGATCGGTTAGTGACAAGTTCCCTTTAATGTTTACTTCCTGTCAGTCTTCTTCAGAGCCCTGTACTACGAGGCTTGGGTCCAAAAATTAGATCGCTCAAGCCAGCCGTGTCCTATCTAGTTAGGGGCGCGTTCACCATGGAAAGGGGTGGTATCTGGAGCATTCGACCAATCACAAACATGGGAAGCGTACTGACAGCGCAGCGTCACCACTTCCTGATGAAAGTGAACTTATTAATATTAGACATATGAAGAAGTTAAACTTTAAACATCCATGACTTAAACACTTTATCCAGGATCAAAGCCACATAGCTGCAAGGTGAATACAGAAAAAGTATCTCTCTTCTTCTGTTGCTTTCTCTGAGGTCCAGCTCTCTGTCTTGTATCCGCTTTCCTTCTCTTGTTCGCTCATTCTTTTTTTTACTGTGAACAGTTTAGCCATCATGAATCCAAAGTATCGTGCTCTCCACAAATATAAAAATGTATATTAAAAAATTAGTGTTTTCTGATTAAATTAACAACCTCAGGAATGTCCAAATGGACCAATCAGAATCAAGTATCCCACTAAGCTGTGCAATAAATGATAATAAAGGACTTGCTGTTGCATGCAAAACCACTCTGCAACGTATAAAGTCTATTCCCTCTCCAGGAATATGGCTCATTAAGATATCGATCCAGGACTTAAAGATGACGCAGTGAATCATTCATGCGTTTTATAATGTTGGAGAAGAAGGTACAGAACGAGCAAGGAAAAGTAAGGAGGATAATAAGATAAGAAAGTGATCAGAGAGACAAGAGGCTGAACAGAAGAAGCTCTTTGCTCCTTATGGGGAGCTCCTTCATTGATTCCTGATTTCAAATGACACCAGATGGTATCTCATGAGCACTTGCTTTGCTAAATGTCAGCACGGTCTCAGGTTAAGGCCTCTCGCTGAAATCAAACCATTTAATAATAATAATACAAAAAATCTCGTAAAGAGGAGAAAAACTCAACTTCTAAATCTCTCATCACATTACATCACATGTCACATGTTAGACGCTTTTATCCAAAGCAACTTACATACTCAATACTGTGGCCAATCCCCACAGGAGCACTTTGGGGTGAAGTGTCTCAGGGACACAACGACATGCTGACTGCAGTGGGACTCAAACTTGCCATTCCCTGATTCGAAGTTCAGCGCACCATCCACTGAGCCTCAGCCTCCTTATTCTGCTCTTTTCTACTATCCTGAAACTCCTTCCCCTTTCAGTCACTTCAAGAAACATTTAACTCACCAGACTCATAGCTGATCTGCAGATGTGGCGTCGCTACTCCATACAGCTTAACAACATTTATATGTGTAAGTCAAGAAGCACGCGGTAAATCCAAGCGTCTGTCTGAGTGTCCTTTGCACCGTGAAACTGCATGTACTGTACAGACACCATAAACACAGCGGGGCAGAGACACACCAGGAAGTAGCTCTGCAGGGTTATAGGGCGGCTTCAGGCCCTTTGGGTCTTCATTTCTTTAAGTGATTTCCTACTTTTTTATATTTTGAATAATCCCTTATCCCCAGAGTCTTTAACATCCTATGTCTTCATCTAAAAGCAGGAGGTATTGGATTATAAGCATGGTCTCGGTGTGCTTGGATCTTTCCAAGTTTAGATCCATTCTGTTTAGGGAGACAAAAGCACTCCCAGTGAATTACACTTGCTTTAAATAAAGAAATAAAGCTTTGGTCCAAAAATAATCAACACAGAAAGAGAGCTCATTTTTGTCGAAGCCTGTCTGGGTTTATCTGGTGGTTTTTTAGAATATTTCTTTACATTCACAAGCAAAAAGCACTCTGATTGTCTTTATTAGATTTGAATGTTGGACTCAAGGTTTGACTCTGCCTTGAAGCAATTAGTCAATAGACAGAGACTTCAATTCATGGTTTCATTGAATCGTTATCAAGGACATAAAAAGGCCAATCATTCTCCAGTTAGAGGTTTTTCTTAGGCATTGAATCACCGTAAAGATAATGTCTTCGGAATTTTGAAAGGTATCTAAGGACATTTTTCTTAACTACTTCTTTGAAATGTTCTAGATTGACGATTAATGCATTAATTAATTTTAGAAAGATATTTGATATAGACGTGATAACTTTGGTACACTGTGAACAGAAAGCAGGTGATTTGTTCAGATATTGGTTTGAACTGAATGTCATAAAAGTCAATAACCAAAAATTGTCTGTCTGTCCGTCTGTCTGTCTGTCTGTCTGTCTGTCTGTCTGTCTGTCTGTCTGTCTATTTTAATGTCTGTCTGTCTATTTAAACGTCTGTCTGTCCGTCTTTCTTAGTGCACAGGAACAGGTGAGATTTCAACAGCATGAGCCATAAAAACTGCAGGACTGTCCAAGG